AGATGAAGATGAAGATGAAGATGAAGATGAAGATGAAGATGAAGATGTTCAAGAGTTACAGTAAGGTATTGGCCACAGGCAACGTTGGGCATCGTTAGTACAGGAACATACCTACATTCAGCTCTGCTCATCAACACCCGCTGAATGCACCAATACAACCAACATTAGTTCATTTTTGCAATGTCATCGCTTAACATCCATATTATGCGTATTATTATTGTTCTCGCTCTAGCGTTAGACGTTGTTATAGCTGATGTACTTAAGAGTAGAACACATATGTATGTATTTTGCTCATATACTTCTGTATGTATATAAAGAGTATCTGGTGATCATAGGGTAGAATATTCAAGAACGTGAATCAATAAACAAGTGAAAGTCACTTATTCGTTTTTATTTTGGACAACGTGGTTTCCTACTTGCCGAATTCATTCCCAAACATTTTTTGGTGCCTCCTGTGAGGACGATCGCAAATATACTGCGATATGGCGAGTTTAAATCTGCGTGCATCTGCACAATCATCAATTGTTCGTCTTGGGAAAATTACCGAGGCGGCCAACTTTGATCCAGATCCCATAGAGTGCGAGGTTATGCTGGCGCAAGTGAACAAACATTTTGAAAGGTTTGCAGAGTATCACGCGGATCTAGTATCTCTTGCACAGGCCAGCGAATTGGAAGCCCACGACGAATGTTTCGCTGCTACTGAAACGCTCTATACCAATATTTGTGTTCGAGTGCGTAGGAGAATGGGCGGTAAAGGCAATTCAGAGCCCAAGCCTCCTGTGACCAGTCAACAGGATATGCGGTTAGATCCAATTAAAATTCCAGTCTTTGATGGTGATCCGGCGAATTGGTTGTCTTTCAAAGACCTGTTTGAATCACTGGTCCACAACCGCACTGACTTAGATTCCAGCTACAAGCTGAGTAAATTGCGTCAACATGTCAATGTAGATAACGTGCCATTGGTTGGAGGCCTATACACCGGTGGCTACGAGGACATGTGGAAGGAAATGAAACGTAGGTATGACAATAAGCGTTTGTTAGTTGAGGCGCAGGTTAACCACCTCCTGGATTTGCCGAATCATCCAACGGAATCACAGAAGACCCTTCTTCGAGTTGTCGACACCGTACAAAACGCTATGCGAGCGCTAGCTGTAATGGATCTTCCAGTAACTCAATGGGATGCACTCACAGTGCCACTTCTGCTGCCCAAGCTACCAACTACCACGCGGTATGAGTTGGGCATGAGTCTCCAGACTAACAACATTCCCAATTTGCATGACTTCATAACATTCATTGAGAAGCGCGCAAACAATTTGCTTCAGGCGGCTTCTAATGTAGCAACGACGCATCGACAACCAGCAACACGGTCTGTCAAGGCACATGTAGCAGCCGTTAATTCATCTCAAGCTTCCCGTTCAAGGAAGGCGGCCAGTATTTCTTGCCCATTGTGCGCAAGTTCACATCGCCTTCACAAGTGTCAGCGGTTCCTCAACCTTCCGGTAACAGAGCGCTAGGACACCGTGAAGCGGCTCTCACTGTGCTTCAATTGCCTCAGCGTCGACCATGGGGCGCGAGATTGCCCGTCGCGGGATTGTATACGCTGCCATCACCGGCACCACACACTTCTCTGCAGAGAAGAAGATACAGTCAGTGCACCAGCAGCCGAAGTAACGAACACATCAGTAGTGCCGACTCGTAACTCTAAGCCAGGTATATCTGTAGAGCACACGCCGCAGGTATACTCACGACAACAATGACAGTCAGAGCCGGTTCGGTCTATTCTTGTCCACGGTGAGCGGACCGTTTTACTAGCCACAGCAAAGGTTCGTCTTGTGGATCATAATGGACAACAACACACTTGTCGTGCCCTCTGTGATATGGGTTCCCAGGTGAGCTTAATCACTGATTCTTTAACTAAACGTATGGGTCTCCGTAGAAAACCAGATGAGGTCCGAATCGAAGGCATCGGTTCTAGCACCGCGGTTTATACCAGAGGCAATGTGACTGTTAAGATGCAACCTACAATTGACAGCAACACTGAGTTCAGACTGGAGGCGTATGTTGTGCCGATGATAACCTCAACTACACCAAGCGCAACGATCGATCCGGCAGCCTGGACTCATTTGAAGGATTTGCCGCTGGCGGACCCAACGTTTGGTAGCCCGGGTCGGGTGGATTTGCTTCTCGGTGCTGAGGTGCTTAAGAATCTCTTTCTGGAAGGCTTAATTCGGGGATCTGCAGAACAGCCTTGCGCCTTGAATACACGGCTTGGTTGGGTAGTGTTTGGGCCAGCTCATGGTAGTTCACCACAATCCGTACAGCTCACATCGCATGCTGTCAAACGCGTCAACGAACAACGACTCGACAAACTACTTCGAAGCTTCTGGGAACTCGAAGAGCCAGCTGTGGTATCAGAAACTCGGGAAGATGATTGTGAAAGGGTATTCACCAACACCTTTACACGCGCAACGGATGGCCGGTATCAGGTGCAGATCATATTTAAACCAGATGCACCCTCCATTGGTGATTCCTACCAATCGGCATAACGTCAGTTTCTACAACTGGAACGGAGATTAGCGAACGACGCTGATCTACGCGAGCAATATACGGCTTTCATGAGGGAGTACATAGCTCTTGGCCATATGGAGGTAAGCCAGGAGTTAATTACGGACGCTCATCCTAGTTACTTTATTCCCCATCATGCTGTTACTGCCAAATTTCGGGTTGTGTTTAATGCCTCTGCAAAGACCTCGAATGGCGTATCACTGAACGACGTGCAATTCTCGGGCCCACAGCTACACCCAAACTTGGTCGACATTCTTCACCGTTTTCGCAAATTCAGCGTAGCCATCACTGCAGACGTGAAGAAGATGTTCCGTCAAGTCTTGGTCGACCAACGTCATAGAAAATGGCAAAAAATTCTTTGGCGTGAAGCTTCCGACGTTCCTCTACAAATATACGAATTGACAACGGTGACGTATGGAATGACTTGTAGTCCATTCAATGCGGTACGAGCGCTGCGTCAATGTACGCAGGATAATTGTAAGGCCATCAGTGAACCCAGCCGGGCTGCCGCAGCGCAACATAGCATCCTTTATAATTTTTTACGTAGACGACTATCTGGACAGTGTCGATACGTCCGAACTAGCAATCACGCGGGCACAAGATGTGGAGACCATCTTGAAGCAAGGTCAATTTGTGTTGGGGAAATGGAACTCCAACTGCTCACACACGCTTGCTACCATCACTGGTTCGACAATGTCTGCATCCGAGCTGGAGTTGAACTATTCAGCGACGAAGGTACTCGGTTTGCATTGGGATCCGTTGCATGACGAGCTCTTCTTCACGGTACGGGGGTTCGACGAGTCAGCGATGCCTACCAAACGGACAGTGCTTAGCGACGTAGCTAGATTGTATGATCCGACTGGCTTATTGGCACCGGTTGTCATTGTGGCAAAACTCTTTATCCAGGATCTGTGGAAGGCGGGATTGCAGTGGGATTCGGCACTGCCACCGGACCTGCTCAATGCTTGGTTAATATTCCGCAACGGGTTAGCGGACATTTCACGACTTCGGATTCCACGTTGGCTAGGCATGCGTGCCGATTCGATGGTGAGGCTCCATGGTTTCTGTGATGCTAGTCGTAAGGCATATGCAGCTGCGGTGTGTGTCCAGACGGTGGATCACAATGGTAATTCAGGTGCAGTTCTGGTTGCTGCAAAGACGAAGGTCGCTCCGGTCAAGGAAGCGACCATACCACGCCTTGAGCTATGTGGTGCCCACCTACTTACAATCACTATGAACCACGTCCGCCAGGCTCTTGATCTACAAGATGTCCCTTGCATATATTGGTGCGATTCAACTGTTGTATTATGCTGGATCCGCAAGGCACCTTCAGCTTTCAAACAGTACGTTTCGAATCGAGTCGCTTTCATCCAGGCCAATTCGGATGTAAATTCCTGGAACCACATCCGATCGGAGCTTAATCCGGCGGATTGCGCAAGCAGGGGCTTGGCGCCATCTGGTCTAGAAAGTCATCGACTTTGGTGGGCCGGACCGACATGCATCCATCAACACACAACCGTAGGATCGGAACCAGTTACGATGACGGAGGAAGACCAGCACATTTTTAGATCCGAATCTCGCCCTTTGTATACGCTAGTATCTCGTGTTGACTGCCAGTGGCTCATGACATCAGGTGACGGTAATCGTGTACCTCTCATAGAGAGGTTTAGCACGTTGGGGCGTCTTCTCAACACCACGGCGCGTCTTAGACGCATACTACCGTTATTTCGAGGCAACAGAGGGGTTGTGGTCTCCGCCGAAGAGCAGAACTGGGCGCTGGTCTTACACATTCGTCAGGCACAAGGTAATACTTTCAAACAGGAAATTAAAGCACTTGTATCTAATTCCAGAATTGAGGGTCGCAGTCCACTTCGACCCCTAAACCCGTTTCTGGATGAAAATGGAATATTGAGGGTTGGCGGCCGACTAACCAACGCTGACATGAGTAACGATCAGCGACACCAAAACATAGTCCCACGCGGCACTCTAGCAGATTTGATGGTCGCAGATGCACATCAGCGCTGCCTTCATGGTGGCATACAGCAGATGCTCCAGTTTCTCCGACAACGTTTTTGGCTCATATGTGCGCGGGCCCAGGTAAAATCTTACATCTGGAGGTGCACCGTATGTCGTAGACATCTGCAAATTATGCAGCGTCAACAGATGGCGTCGTTACCAAAGGAACGTGTCCTTGTTGCACCACCATTTTACCGCAGTGGCTTGGATTACTGCGGCCCCTTCCATGTTCGAGTTGGCAGCAAGCGCTCAGCAGTTACGACAAAAACCTATGCAGCCATTTTCGTTTGTATGGCATCGCGTGCAGTTCATATTGAGCTGGCAGAAGACTTGAGTACACAAGCATTTATAAACGTGTACGACCGCTTCGTGAGTCGACGAGGCATCTGCGCTACCTTATACAGCGATAATGGTACTCAGTTTATTGGTGCGAATCGACAAATGCAGGAGGATTTACAGGCATGGGTGAACGTGTTTGCACAACAACACCTGGTGGCTGTAGGAACCCACTGGAAGTTTATTACACCATCGTCACCTCATCACGGTGGCCTTTGGGAAGCAGCGGTGCGTTCTGCCAAAAAGCATCTATTGCGAGTCATGGGTCGTCAAACAATGCGCTTCCCCGAGCTCTACACTCTTTTGACGCGTATAGAAGCCTGCCTCAACTCACGGCCATTGCTGGCTTTATACGATGACCCAGAAGGTGGTGTAGCGCTCACTCCGGGTGATTTCATTATTGGCCGCCCGTTGAATTGTCGTCCGGAACCTCCATTACCAGAAGTTCCAGGAAATCGGTTGCATTATTGGCAACGTCTTCAACGAATGCTGGAGCACTTTTGGCGTCGCTGGCAAAGCGAATACATAAATACCCTTCAGTCTCGCAGTAAATGGACTAGACCGGAGCCAAACATACAGCGCGACGACGTCGTTCTCATACGGAATGAGAATCTCCCCCCAACATTTTGGCGCATAGGAAGGGTCATTGACGTGCATCCGGGTAGTGATGGTTTGGTTCGCGTGGTCACCATCGAATACAATCCTAACCAGAAAAACTCGAACGGACTTTTTACCAAACACCGATCTTCATCTTCATCTTCATCTTCATCTTCATCTTCATCTTCATCTT